ATGAACAGGCTACTATGAACACAAGGTTTATCTAATGTGAACACTAGCTATAGATATTGTACATTATGTTCACAAGTTTCATGGGTATAAACTTATGTTCTACCAGGTTTGTCAAACCATCGATAAACTCTGTGTATTTTAATGGGATCATGAACTTCAGTATACCATCAATAATACAACTATTAGGAATATTATAAGCAGGGATAATAAATGATATGAAAAACAAACCATGTCAATGCCAGCATTCATTCCAGCTATTATGGAGAAGGTGTAATTAGCATGTGTAGGAGTGGTGATCCTGTCAATACCCTGCCAATCTGATATCATAAATCCCTGGCGTAATAACAGTTCAAAGTTCATCTTAGTTGTTCAATTCTGTCAATTTTCTGCAAGAAAGGTGTAAATTCACTTGGGGGAGTGAATATACTTTGGAATTGAGCTTGTTCTTGAGGTAGTCAGTAACAACATTACGGTTAGAATGCATTTTAACCCCATTCCAGCTAGAGTAGGATGTCATAATAGTAGCCACACCCTTAATGATTTAATCATTGTATGCATTGCTGGCATATGTATCCTGTAGAATCTTTTACTACCTGTTATCGTGTTGCCTTCATTTGTGCCTAGGTGAGTTCCTCCATCTCTCACATAGTGCTTATCATAGGCTGCAACCTTTTGTATGTGAAAACAAAAGTGCAACAAATCTCATGGCCCAAAAACATATTTCGTGTTCTGGATGTCAAACAATATACATTCTTCCCTTAGTTTTCATTTACGGTTAATACAAGTCCTTGTTGATCCTTGTATTTATCTAATTTTGGTAATAATAATTTCATTTATGAAGACTAACTTCATGTTTATCGGCAGGTCCTGATGATATCACCMCCTCACAGCACGAAGCATTAGGTTCACACGGTTCACATCCAGGTAGGAAACTATATGAACAGGCTACTATGAACACAAGGTCTAGCTAATGTGAACACAAGGTATAGCTATTGTACATTATGTTCACAAGGTTTAGCAATGGTTTCAGATTAGAATAACTATTTAATACAAATGGTGAGATGATATGATTGACAGAAAAATATGGGTTTAATTTAAAAAAATAACTTTGTCTTTCCTCTTTTTCTTCATCTTTCTTGGATTTTGATCTGTGCCTTTTGTTTTTCCTCTTTTTCTTGATTCTCTCGAATCATCATCACTACTTGAGGATTCAGATGATGAACCTGAAGAGCTAGTATCAGAAGACCTTCTGAAATGCTATAGGAATAATAAACACAACAGATAGATTTAGGTTAGTTTTGTTCCTTGGTCATATGATAAAAAAGAGACGTATATTCTAAGCCAGGCTCAACAATTTATTGAGGGGAGAAATAGGTAGAATGCACACTAATCATAAGGGTGTTGGGTCTAATGCAGAAATGAAACAAGGTAAAGGCACCACAAAAGGTTGGGACCTTTTTTCAATAAGGTCAGATTAAAACTAGTCATGTGTCATCCTTACAAGAGAACAAGATCACTAACATGACACCCTCATCTTTTGCAAAAAAATACTGGCATAAAATCATTTCACTCTTGCTGTATCATCATCACTACTAATCATATAGTTTGGTTTTGACTTCTGCCATGAAAGAAATAAAAAATAAGAGCTAATAATAATATTGCTTCTAACCTAAAGAGATATGTACAGTCAAAGTTGGCATCTTGGTATATGTTATAAATATCCTAATAACACGTGCACATACAGAATCCACAAGAAGAGGGGTTGAGATCAATAACCAGGCTTTCAATCATAAACCATATGAAACGAAATTGCAGGTTAAAGACTACATTTGACTTCTGCCCTTTGCATGTAAGTGGTGGCAAGCAGTTGCACTATATTCCCAAGGTTAAGACCACTAATGAAAAAGATAGGATTTTGAGAATAAATATTCAACTGACCTGTAAAAAGTGGGCCCTTATTTATCTTAACCTTAGGTCAATTACTTCGCCGAAAGGGAGCAAAATTATTGGTCGACTTGAACTTCCATCTAGTCCTAGAATCCATACCTCTTTAAAGTCCAAGGTGTTTCTAGTCAAAAATAAATCGTGAGCATCCAATAAAGCATGCGAACAAGAAAGAAAATGGCTACTTTTGGTAATAAGAATTTCATTTATGAAGACTAACTTCATGTTTATTGGCAGGTCGTGATGATATCACCCCCTCACAGCACGAAGCACTATGTTCACACGGTTCACATCCAGGTAAGAAACTATATGAACAGGCTACTATAAACACAAGGCCTAGTTAATGTGAACACAAGGTATAGGTCTTGTACATTATGTTCACAAGGTTTAGCAATGGTTCATATCTATAGTGTTCATTATGCACACTATGGTGACCATAACTTATCCTTTCGTTCTAATGACCCCCCCCGAAATCATCTCATGCTTATATATGCGCTGCTGGGATTTGTCACTGTGAACCACAATGTTGGCAAACCATAACATCAACTGTTAGCAAACCATAACATCAACTGTTTTTGTGCAAATAACTTATCCGTACTTTCTCATGACCCCCATCCCCCCCAAATCATCTCATGCTTATATATGTGCTGTTGGGATTGGTCACTGTGAACCACACTACTGGATAACACACATATCGATACATACTGCATACTAATGTGCATTAAGACATTTGTGAGTAGACACACGTATTTTAACATATATCAAATCAGCACACCCATTACAGATGTAGATTTTTGAGAGTTGTTACTGTTTTTATGTCGTATATATGCTGTTCATTACGTTCACGATACCCCAACGACACATACAAACCTGCTCAATATATTAAACTATATGAACATAGAAACTATATGATAAGGCTAATAGGAACACAAGGTCTAGCTACTATGAGAACAATGTTCAGCTAATGGGAACACAAGGTATAGATATTGTACATTATGTCCACAAGGTTTAGCGATTGTTCAAATATATAATGTTCATTATGCACATTACAATGACCATTTTATGTTTGTAGACTAAAACACAACCATACTTACCAATGTAGGCAAACCATAACATCAACTGTTTATGCGCAAATAACGTATCCGTACGTTCTCATGACCCCCCACCCCCCCAAATCATCTCATGCGTATTGGTATGCTGTTGGGATTGTTCAACTGTGGCGGTGTTGGTTTTTTGATTTTGTAGAACGTACTAACAATCATATATAAGATATAGGTACGATGAAATTCTACACTTGTCTTGCATATTTATCTAATACATTGATACCATCATATAACTTACATAGCAATACTCGAGTATACGACATAATATTTATAGTCTTAAAACAATAAGATGATTTTATCATTTACTCTTTTGTTTTAACTGAAGAGGAACTACTGTGAATACCATCTTTAGCTACTTCATATTTGATTCGTAATTATGTGTGTTTTATGTGTTTTCCTAGGTGAATTACTTGTAATCTATACCCCACTCATTCTTTTGTACAACAATTATGTGTATTCCCGTGTGAAATTGGTATGGCTGCAATAGCTTACGTATTGTTTAATTTTTATATCTGACAACTAATTCATGGTATTGGCAAAAAATGTCAACTCTTTAAACAAGGTTATGAATAATGAAAATTAAATTTGCACATTTTTTGTGTGTACACACTGATGAAAGTGAAAATTATAGGTGCATCGTCATCAATGGTGTTGATACTAACCAAATCCAAGGTGATATGTACCTCCAAGCAATCGGGTGAGTTTGGTGCTTATCATTTGTATATGTTAAACAAATATGACGAAAGTGCAGTAGTAAATCGAACACAAAACAATGTTTTTTTAACCATTAATTTATTTTGCATTCAGGTCGTCTTGTTAAAAAGGATAACATACCAATAGTAGATAATTCAATAGAAGATGCCACCAACGCAACCAAGGATCACCATGTGCCGTCATTTACCGGTGAAATAGGTTCAGGTAAGACCGTGTACTCAATGTTTCATATTGTGTTTAGTAATTAACTTGTAACGAGCACACATATTGAGTGTATAACTATAAATTGTTTGATTTCATTAATTATGTTAGGGAAAAATCCCATGAACGCAGGCATCAAGCGTGATAATGATTTTCAGACCGTCGACCAACTACGAGAAACGGCAGTCAACAGAGTTACGCGAAGGGGGAAAGGTTTGGCAATCGGTTATGACAAGGAAGTACCGGTTGCGTCTGATTCAAAGGATATGACATTTTGCATCCGAACTCGAACATCTCCAAAAACTTTGTATGATACGGTTACGTCCCTAACCGTCGCCCAACGTGCAGCAGTCAAGGATATGGGCTTCCAGTCGCTGCTCGATATGACATTGGACGGGATTCCGGCAAAGATTGGATTTTACGTCGTCGATAATCTTGATACAGCAGCCATGAACATCAAGATGAACGCCGGTGTAATCCCCATAACCATCAACTCTATACATGAAGTTTTAGGGCTGCCAATGGGAGGTCTTGATCTTAATTCGGCTGATCCATCGCCATGCATCGATGATATTGTTACGGCATGGCGAAAGCAGTTCACAAAAGATAGGATGAGGCCGAAAGATGTTATGAACGTTATACAKAAATCAGCTGATGCCGGTGATTTGTTCAAGCTGAGCTTCTTAGTTATAGTTGTCAACACCCATGCGGAATGCAGCAGGGTGGGTGTTTGCAACCTGCGTTTCTTGAACCGTTTGCATAGCTTGAAGATGATTCCAAAAATCAATTGGTGCAAGTACGTATTTGATTGCATTTCAACCAGCAAGAAGTGTTGGAGTAGAGACARTCTCATGTCGTTCTATGCAGGACCTTTGACGTGTTTGACAGTAAGTAAAATCTTCGTAATACACATCTTAATAAAAGAGTAATACGAGCATGAATATAAAACATTTGATGTATTCGTTATATGCAGATGCTGTATGTTCATTACACAAGTTGTGMACACCTACAAATAGCGACAGATACACCTCCATCTAACTAATATATCAATTCTGGGCAATTACGTGAGTCATGACCACTACGTTGTCCACACGTTGCACATTTTCGTTTGGTCTTTTTGCAATTATTTTGCAATTTCTCAGATACACTTACCAGCCTCTTGCCAGTTCCACAACCTTTGTTCCTTATTCCAGATGGTGGTAGGATGTCCGCCTCATCAGGTATGGAAACACCTAGATGATCTCTTATCGCATCCAACTTTTGTTGGGATGGGTCTTCGTATGGAACTTCCTTCTCTATATCAACCATGAATTTGTCGAGGTTACRCCCCAATCTATCTAATATAGATTGGTCATTGCGTGAGATGCTTATTATGTCGTCCATCTTGGAATACAAATCAATTATAGACTTTTCTTTCTCGGCGTTGACCTCCCCATAACGAACTCTTGCGGACTATATCTGTACTGGAACTAACTCTCGTTTCCATCGACGTAGTGCGTATTTTTCCGGTATGCATTCAACTTCGTCATTTATTAGTACCTTGAACGCGTGATGACATAGATACCCATTACGTGTAAATAGGTTACAATCGCATTCAACTGTGTTTGTTGAGTAGTTACGGCCCACCTGTCATAAAAGAAGTTTCCAACAACATCAGTCAAGAAAAAAATAAAAATCGTATAATCCTTTGTGTTGAGAGTTAGGAATAGGATACCAGATACTTGATGTTGTCAGCTGATTTCTTGGCCTTGTGGCTTATCAAGAACGACTTGAAATCATCACGGCATTCGACGGTCGCAATAGCACAAAACCAAACAGCCTTCTTTATTTCCTTTTGGATGTCAAAAAACACGTTCCGGCTGTATATGCTTGATGCATGACTTTCTAAACGCAATGGAGTAAGAAACTTGAGATTAGTCGTTCTCGTCACTGTCTCGTGAACAAATTGTCTGTATCTTTGTTTCTCTATAGCTACGTCGTAATTATTAAGGAATTGCACCAAATCAAACCAGTACGATTCGTATATGTTGATATACGAATTCGAACTCTCGGATCTTGAGGTTGTTTTCATTAGACCAGACATCGACGTGTCCTTATAATATGCAGGAATCCACGAGTGTCGGATTTCATACATCTCTGTAAACCAAGTATCCCCCGCTAGATTGTATTTATCTATCATCTCATTCCAACGGCTCTCGAACTCCGATGGGCCAATATGAATGTTCCATACGAGCTTGTTGATGACTTTATTGAACATAGGATCATGATTTAGGGCGACACTAACCTACATCAACGAAGCTTCGACATATGAAAGAATAACACAAAAATGCATTAAATTAGATAGCATTCAATATATACTACTTACCTTTGAAGGGACCTTCTTCATAATGTTCCACATACATAGTCGATGCTTGGATTCCGTGAACACCTTCGGAATAGCCTGCTTCATTGCAGAACATTGGTCTGTAATTACGAACACTGGTTGCTTCGCATGACACTTTAGAAAGGCCTCTAGAACCCATKTAAAGTTATCAATCGTCTCTCCACTTATAAGAGCGGATCCAACAACAACAGACGCCTTATGGTTGTCAACAGCCATGAAAGGWACAAAAATCATTGCATGCCTGGAATACAAATAAAAAATATATGAGTATCTATTCGTAGCCCCGTCATATGTCCGTTAAAATATCAAAGCTGATCAACGTAAATGAATGTATTGCAATTGGTGATCTTACTTGTTGGTGCGAAAGGTTCCATCGAACGAAATGACATCACCGAATTCTTTGTAGTTAATCCTAGGAACTTCATCCGCCCAGAAAATTGCACTCAACTCCAGTTTGTTGCATTTGTATTCAAAAAAAAAAATCCGGGGACAACATCACGTCTATTTGATAGTTTATTGATCAACATCGTCGCGTCCTTATTCGCAAYACAAGCAACAGCATCCCTCTTGAAATTCTTGAAGTCAATTTCAGAGATGCGAGTATGCTCAAATCCACYGTTCAATGCGGTCTGAATACGGTGGGCCCTCCTCGCGCCGACTTTGTAGCTTGAGCTATTTAGTACTGTTTTGAAATCTGTATATTTCATCTGTCTATTCTTCCGAGAGAAACGACGATCGTTATGATTGAACAATTCATGGTTATGTGACTCAACGAACTCATATATCTCGTAACAAGACCTATCCTTTGTCAAATGGATTTTTATACAAGCATTACAACCACAACGTTTGATGTTTGTATTACGATATCTCCTCTCACCCGGCTGCATGTRCAWCGAATCAAAATCCTTCTTTTTTGGGTTTCCCTCCCTGCTGCATACAAACCACCTGGTTTGAATTTYGCCGTTCTTGTTCGTCTTTTTTACATGCATGCGAACATCAAAGCCAGCGTTGTCCGCATAAGCCCTGTACATCCTTTCGACTTCATTTATAGTCGCATATTGTGCTTTCATATTTGGCTTAAGCGCGTCATCGACCTTCGGGATAAAAAACTTTATTCCTTCTGAACTCTCTCCTATGTCATAATCAACTTCTTGTTGTGAAGAAGTTATGCTATCAAGATCTGATGGGAAAAAGTAGTCAGGCTGTGAGATTAAAGTTGGTATAACAATAATCGAATTTAACAGACCAACATGCAGATAGGTAATAGTGAAACTCCAAACAACTTGAAACAAAATCTCTTATTTTATTTGTCGGACATACCCCAATATTAMTACTGTCTATATATAGGTAACGTAATCTGATATGAACATTTATGTTACAGGTACAGCATGATGGATTTTTAAAAAACAAGTCCAAGCCAAGGTTGTCATGACATGAWGAGATATATCATAAATAAAATAGTTTGAGGTAATATGCAACTACCTTTTGTTTTGAATAATCTGTGAAAATGAGAATAGTGTGCATATGCATCCAACATACTGGTCAAACTCAATTGTTGTAGTTAACAGGTGCATTGACATGAACTGTTTCGGACTGTAATATGAGTTGATATATTCAACATAGTCATGTCGAAACAGGCTGTGTTCAGATGAACACAGCTGCTGATGACACGAGCACTTGAACACATATGTGAATATATGATATCTTATGAAGAACATATGTTAATATATGATAGCTTATGAAGTACATCTGTCGGCAATATGTTCGTGTGATAATAACATTAAGTTTGTGTTCATAGTAGCCTGTTCATGATATTTATTGCACTTTTGTTTTTCAGACAAAAAGGTTGCAGCCTGTGATAAGCACTATGTGGGAGATGGAGGAACTCACCTAGACACAAATGAAGGCAACACGATAATAGTTAGTAAAAGATTCTACAGCATACATATGCCATCATAAAATGATTAAATCATTAAGGATGTGGCTAATATTATGACCTCCCACTCTAGCTGGAATGGGGTTAGAATGCATGCTAACCGTAATCTTGTTACTGACTACCTCAAGAACAAGCTTAATTTCAAAGAATATTCACTCACCCAATTGAATTTACCCCTTTCTTGCAGAAAATTGACAGAACTGAACAACTAAGACGAATTTTGAACTGTTTTTACGTCAGGGATTTATGATATCAGATTGGCAGTGTATTCACAGGATCACCACTCCTGCACATGCTAATTACATCTTCTCCATACTAGCTGGAATGAATGCTGGCATTGACATGGTTTGTTTTTCGTATCATTTATTATCCCTGCTTATAATATTCCTAATAACTGTATTATTGATGGTATACTGAAGTTCATGATCCCATTAAAATACACAGAGTTTATCGATGGTTTGAAAAACCTGGTAGAACATAAGTTTATACCCATGAACCTTGGGAACATAATGTACAATATCTATACCTAGTGTTCACATTATCTAAACATTGTGTTCATAGTAGCCTGTTCATATATTTTCTTACTTGCTGATAATCATTAAGTTTGTCTTCATGAATGAAATTCTTATTACCAAAAGTAGACTTCAGAAGTGAAATTCTTATTACCACAGAGTTTATCGATGGTTTGACAAACCTGGTAGAACATAAGTTTATACCCATGAACATTGTGAACATAATGTACAATACCTATACCTTGTGTTCACATTAGCTAGACCTTGTGTTCATAGTAGCCTGTTCATATAGTTTCTTACCTGGATGTGAACCGTGTGAACCTAATGCTTCGTGTTGTGAGGTGGTGATATCATCAGGACCTGCCGATAAACATGAAGTTAGTCTTCATAAATGAAATTATTATTAATTTTAAATTATTATTACCAAAATTAGATAAATACAAGGATCAACAAGGACGTGTATTAACCGTGAATGAAAACTAAGGGAAGAATGTATATTGTTTTACATCCGGAACACGAAATATATATTTGGGCCATGATATTTATTGCACGTTTGATTTCACAGACAAAAGTTTGCAGCCTGTGATAAGCACTATGTGGGAGATGGAGGAACTCACCTATGCACAAATGAAGGCAACACGATAATAGGTAGTAAAAGATTCTGAAGTTATAATAGCCTGTGATAAGAGGTTTGACATGGTTTGTTTTTCGTATCACTTATTATCCCTGCTTATAATATTCCTAATAACTGTATTATTGATGGTATACTGAAGTTCATGATTGCATTAAAATACACAGAGTTTATCGATGGTTTGACAAACCTGGTAGAACATAAGTTTATACCCATGAACCTTGTGAACATAATGTACAATATCTATACCTAGTGTTCACATTATCTAAACCTTGTGTTCATAGTAGCCTGTTCATATATTTTCTTACCTGCTGATAATCATTAAGTTTGTCTTCATGAATGAAATTCTTATTATCAAAAGTAGACTTCAGAAATGAAATTCTTATTACCAAAGGTGCACAGATGTGAACATAGACTGCAAACGATACACATATATGAACATTTTCAAAATCAATGATTGTTGTGCATGTGTGCAGTTATCATACTTCTTTGGATCTGTTCGTAAACATTATCCATATTATTGTAAGTTGTACCATGTGCATGCTTTGTTGTACCAGCAGGTTATATCATGTTCGTAAACATTATCCATATTAATTTATCACACTTCTTTGGATCTGTTCATATGTTGTATGTCTTATGATTTACTTTCTTTGCAGATATGAACATTATACAACAAATACTAATCACTTACCAATCAGAACGCTTTGACCGTCCTCTTCATCATCGGTAATCGGCTTTCGACCGTATTCATATCTGGAATTAAGTTTATCGCTTTTCTTATTCTGAAATTCTTTTACAATAGGATTCTCCATGTATCTTGTACGAAACGAAAATCTTGTACACTTAGACAACCAATTTTAATACATGTAGAAACTCACTTGAAATGAAGAACATGAACATGAAATAAAAAAGAAATCAGAAAAATCTCATGAAAAATTAGAGTTATCTTTTAAGATTTGTAACTCCCAATTAATTACTAGGGGGTTACAAAAAAGTTAAATTACCAAATTACCCTTATCTTTAATTTATAATTTATTTTTGAACCTAAAGTCAAGAAAGAATGTGATTGGTTAATGATGGTTTGCATAGTTTGTACCATATGGTTGGTTTCTATTTGAACCAACCTCTATATATAGGGGCTGGTTCAAATACTAACCAAGATTATCATGTTAACTTTGTTAACCGATCTTGGTCGTTGATTTGAACATCCAACGGTTGTCATTTATTGAGACTAAAAATTTAATTATTTAATTATCATATTAATAAAAAATTAGGTTCACAATGGTTCAGAGGGTAGAATTATAAAAAGTGAATGATCTTAACGTATCYTATTTTGTCAGTYTATTCTGTAACTTCCAATYAATAAAGAAACCGTCAATCTCATCGATCAATATCTTAAATCAGTAGCTAAAAATTAGGTTCATAATCTTCATCAAAACAATGGAGGATTTGGAAGGATTAACAGGCGACGACATCCATATAAGATTGAAACATGTGTGTGAACCTAATGAACAATGTGTGAACCTAATAAACAAATAAAAAATTAGGTTCATAATCTTCATCAAAACAATGTGTGAACCTAATGAACAATTGAAACATGTGTGTGAACCAAATGGACATGTTGTGTGAACCAATTGAACACATATGTGCACGAGTGAACACATATGTCGACGTTTGAGTGAACATGTGCGTGAACGGTTTGATCATTTTCTTCACTTTCGGAATTCGAATTCCGAATGTATTCGTCGACGCTTTTAGCTTTTTCATTCTTATTGTCGTCGATCTGTTTTACTCTATGATTATCCATATTACTCGGACTATGACGGAATCTTTACAAAATGGACTTTTTTGAAATTTACAATATCAAAACCATTGTAGGAAGAATGAAATATAAAAATCAGTAAGATGAACAAATGTGAAACTTCATGTCATTATTACATGAAGATCAATTAGTGATATTTTAAGATTTGTAACTCCCAATTAAAATATTGGGGAGTTACATAAAAATAACAAATTACCTAAATACCCTTATACTTAATATGCGAGTTACATTTGAACCTAACTAAAAGATGGAACATGATTGATTGATGTTGGTTAGCATAGTAAACACAAAAAAATGGGTTAGTATTTGAACCACCCTCTCTCTCTCTCTCTATATATATATATATACATATATATAGAGAGAGAGAGAAATTAACAACAACTCCTAATAATTATCCAACCAAACATCATGAATCAACCTAAAGAACTTAAGAGAATTTAAAACTAAGAGATAGATAAAAAAGGGTGGATGATAACCAAACTGCCAATCCCACTTAAAATTTTAAACTGAACTCTGAAGGATCACAAAAGAAGAGATGAAGATGAATATATCTTAAAGAGCAATAAAATTCCAAAATGAAACTCCTGCCAAATCTCTTTCTCTAGCTGCAATCTCTTCTAGGAACTCAAGCACACACAAACACTTTCTAAATGAAATGGATGCATCTGGAAAGGAAACATGAGGAGGTGACTCAACTTTATGGGTTTTCTATTTTCATGCAAGATCCTTTAGAATAGCTAAATACCCAAACCAACCCCTAGACTTCTATATTTAACACAAACTAAAAGACAAAGATATCACATCTCCCCTTAAGGGAATTCCGTCCCGAATTTAAGTCATTGAGACAAACCAAGGTAATTTGATCTCATTTTTGATTCAGGTTCTCAAGTAGCCTCTTGAACCTTATGATAACACCACCGAATCTTTATTAAGTTGATGTATTTATTTCTCACATTGAACACATAAAAGGTAATGTAAATATTGTTAGTATATTGTGTTTATTTAAGTTAGTGTGTATTTTGTTAGCCCATCTATGTATAGTGTTTTACGGCCCAAAGCCTTTCTTATAATGTATATATGTTTATACATGTTTGTTAATTGAGGAAAGGAAATCATTTTCCAATAATATTGTATCAGCCTTCTGATTCTAAAATCTCTCCTAATTATTCTCCCTTTCTCTCCTCATTTTTCTGCCCTATCTCCTCCACCTATGGTTGAAACCTAATAGCCTCCTCCACCATCCAAACTTTCTGATCAAAACTCGTTCATGGCTGCCAACGCTCCTCCTCACAAAGCCTTTGGCATCAACAACATCAAGACTTACTTACCACTCGTTCTTGACCTTGATTGACTTAACTAAGATGCGTGAAGAAAACTTTTCACCATTCATTGTGTTAGGTTCGATGTGATCGATCACATAGATGCTTATACACTGAAACCAACGGATGTGGAATGGAAGAAAGTGGACTCGATTGTGAAACTTCAGATTTACGACTCCATTTCAAAATCACTTCTTCACATGGTGCTAAATAAAGACTCCACCGCTCTTCAAGTTTGGAACAACCTCGAAACTCTTTTCCACGACAACAAGGACACAAAGAGCATGCAAATCAATAACGAGCTCTGGAACATCGTCATGGGTAACCTCACCGTCACCACCTATTGCACCAAATTCAAAGCCTTGGCGGACCTTCTTGCCAACCTTGATCTGGATTCCACAATTCCCGACAAGCACTTGGTTATCTACACGATCAACAAATTGCCATCTAAATTCAATTATGTTGCTAACATCATATGGTACCTCTCTACGCTTCCAACCTTCATTGAAACCCTTTCGATGCTACTCATGGAAGAACAACGTATGCCAACCCTCGATTGGTAAGCACCAGAAATTCCACCACCAATTCCTCCTCGTCGACTATTTTGCACACTGAAAATGGCTCGTCAAACTAGCCTAACAGCCACCATCTAGACCATCGCCAGCAGCAACAATGCGTTGCCAGTAGCCTCTGCTTGCCGCCCCAAACCGGCCTTATGACTGGGTCTTCCTTCCACCATCGATTTGCGGTAGCAGCCCCACGCTCCTTCTTTAATGCCGCTATGGAAGCAACAAACCAACAAACTATTGGGTCCTTTCCTCCGACAGAATTAACAAGGTGTAACCTATCTTCAGCAACCACGGCACATGGGCCAACAGCATAGCAACCGACCATAGGCCCATGAAGCAAGTTCAGATGCTTCTGGCCCAAATTCTGTTATTGAGCCATCTGGATCTTGGATTCGGAATGGACCAAGTCAGCCCACCAGCATACCTGAATTTTTTAACACCATGTCATTAAACGACTGGTTCATGGACACCGGGGCGATGTACCATGTGCATGCAAATGCAGATATACTCAACATTGACCTTCAAACTCGTAATTCTCATTAGGTTTTAGTCGGTGATGGATCTTGCATACCCATAACTACGAACGGACACACCTCTATTCCGGGCTATTCTTGAGTCACCTTCCACTCCACCCTTGGCTACCACCCACATTGACCCCCCACCCTCGGTCACCTTTACACCTCTAAGCCTACTCACCCCATGACCACCCGTGCTTGTAGAGGGATTGTCAAACCTATTGATTGTCTAAATATTTATACCTCTTTCGTTTCTCGTGTCCCACGGTCCCACTAACAAGCTATGCAGGACCCTCACTGGCGAAAAGCCATGAATGAGGAATATCAGGCTCTCATGTCCAACGGAACATGTGGCTTTTCCATCACAAACATCATGCAAATGGTTCTCTTGCTCGCTACAAGGCTCATCTTATGGCCAACGGTTGCAGTCAGCAACAGGGTATCGATTATGACGAGACATTTAGTCTGGTCGTTAAACTGGCTACTATACGCACTATTCTTAGTTTATCAGTCTCCCGACACTGGCCCATTCACCAGCTGGACGTGATAAAATGCATTTCTTCGCAGGGATCTTCAGAAGACTGTTTATATGCACCACTCATCGGGGTTTCGAGATTCTCAATTTCCCGACCATGTCTGTCACATACAACGAACTTTATACGACCTTAAGCATGTTACCATAGATTCGTTAGATATGCTCTTCAGATTGGGTTTCAAAACAGTCACTCAGACTCATCTCTACAAGAATCGAGGAAGATTAATCTAGTAAGACAATATGAAAGCTTTCTCCATGGAAAGAATGAAACGTTGTCTGAAGTACATCAAAAATTTAATTGTCCTTTTATTGATTTGAGGACGGTTGGTAGAAAATATTCCAACTCTGAAACTTTGACGAAGTTTCTGGAATGTTTACCAGAATCATGGGATACATATTCTATGTGTCTCAAAATGTCCAACGATATGTTCTCCCTTTCTCTAAGTTCTCTTTATGGGATACTGCTCAATCTCGAGCAGTCTCGACAACTGAAGAAGAATCTAATCAAAGATCTATGAGATATGAAAAGCTCTCCATTAGCTTTGATCTCTGAAGATTCGTCAGTTGAACTTCCATCTTCTTCTTCTACTTCTCTTTCTTCTTCTATTTCTTTAACGGAGTTAGATTCCACTAATTCTGAGGATTTGTTAGAGTCTGATCTTGCAGACTTTGATGAGTCACTAGCTCTTCTAACTAAGTCTTTTAGAAGATTTTCTTGAAAAAATAACTTCCACAGATCTCCCACGCTGACCATTAAGGAAAAACCAAAGTCAAATTCTATTAACAAGGCTTCAGCGGTCTACTACAACTGTCAATGTAAAGGTCATTTTGCGAGTAAATACAGGTCAATGAAGACTGCAACGCCATCTTTAAAAACCCCATCCTCCTTTTGAACCAAAGACGGTAAATATCTGAAGCTGAAGGAGAAGTACAAGAAGATGAAGAGTTCTCAACGAAAGGGCAAAGGTCTTGTCGTTGAAGAACATGATTGGTCTGATTCGTCTGACGAATCATCCTCAGATGAGAAAGATACGACCTACCTCTACCTAATG